CTCCTCCCCCCCCTCAAGGCCGACCACTCTCATCTCTCCTGCAAGGGCTTCAAGGAGTGATCGAGGCAGCCCCTGGCCAGGAGAAGCGGGCCCCCCCGCGCGCGCGCGCCAAGGCGCGGGGGCTGGAGGCGCCGACGTTCAACGCAGAGCGCGACTTAGGAGGAGCGGTCATCTCATATCCGACCAAGGTTTTTTGCGGCGAATGAAGCTGAGCACAGGGGGGGCCTCTGGCTCTCGGGGCCTCGGGAAATCATGCCGGCCTGGTGGGCTGAGTTTCGGGCCGGGGCGTCTCGCGATGCCCGGGGTCAGCCCGTCGCGCGGGTCGCCTGCCAGAGGGTGCGTCGACGTGTCTCAGGGCAGTTGCAGGTCAACCTGACCGACCGGCCATCCTGAGCTCGACGGCAGGATGTCCCTGATTGAACGGCGGAGCGCGCTCAGTTTCGGGGTCGGGCGGCGAGAGACTCATCTGCTCTCCGCCAGACCCAGCGTTTCATTGCCTGAGCCTTAGGCATCAGCGGGCGCAGACCCTTTGGGACGTGGAGCAGTTGTACAATCGCGTTCGCATGCAGTCTGTGGTGGACATCGCTGACTGGGCAGGCTGCCCGCCCTCGCCGCTTTTCTCGGCCCCGGGCGCGCGCGGTGCCCCGGGCCGCCCCGGAGCCTCAGGGGCCATCTCGCAGGCCCCCCATCGCGGCAGGGGCCTGCTCGTCGGCTGCCCCCAGGGCGCGGACATTGCCACAGTAGCGCCGTTGGATATCCCCGAGGATGCGCGCAACCGTTTTTGCCATCTTCCGTAGACGCTCTGACGGTGATGCAGGTAACGGCGGCGTAGGTTACGGTATTGTGGGGACGCGCGGCTCGCGCTTTCCTGCAATTCGCTGTGCCTTCTTCGTCTGATACCTCCGCAGATCGGAAATATAGGAAAGTGTGGTTCGTGATTTCCTACAGTTCGGTGTCCAACATCACTGTCAAGCAACATCGCTGCCAGCGTGGCCTTGGTTCTTGCTCCGGAGACCTGGGCGGGCGACCTGAGCCAGAGGCACGGGCTGAAAGCAGATACATTAGTAAAGCAGGCAGTCGCATCGAGTCGCGGCCTAGGTCAGTTGCGCCGGCAGAGCGGGCTTGAGATCTCGACCAAATGTCCGACCCATTCGGGCCCCCTAGACAAGACGCGCAGGCCCTCGCGGACCCGGCGCGTTCTGGCCTCCATCTCGAGGGGGGGCCTCGCAGAAGGGCCCGGGCATTGGCGCGGCGGGCGCCCCCGCTCGGCAGTCGTTCCCAAGCAGTTTTTTCCAGTCGGCAAGCGCCCGAGCAAGCGTGATCCACTGAGTAAATACATTGGGCGGTAGAAGCAGGGGTGCTGGCCAGAACGCGCCAGTTAGCGCGGGCGTTCTGGGGGCTCGAAGCCCGATCGGCAAGTCCGACCATGGCCTCGATGGCAGGGGCGGGCGTGGTGGGCAGGAGAGACAGGGGCCTCGTCAACGCGTCGCACGTTTCAGGGTCCCCACCACGACCCCATGGCGTCCGCCCGTCTGCTAGTTTGGAAAGAGCGGACTCACTTGATTCCGCCCGTCCAGCAGGCGAACGAGCACGGCCTCCATGCTGCGTGGGGGAAGGCGCTCGAGCGACTGCCTGAGGCGAACGCCCGTTGTCAGCGAGTCGATGGTTTCGGCGCAGCCGCTGCTGCATTGCTTTCGGAAACAGGATGGGCGCCGCAGGAGCCGGCAGAAGGCCTGGGGAGCACCAGATGGCGAGATTCTCAACGTTCTGTCCCGTGACCCAGGGCGTCTTATTCTACTCTTGACCTCGTTGGAGCGTTTAGTGCGCTGGCCTGGAAACGGCCAGCGGACGCTGCCAAGGCAGCAGTTTGGCAGGCAGAGCAGACGCGCATGCTCCGCTGAGACGGCTGAGCGAGTTGCGAGCACTAGGGGCGCGCCCATCAGGCCGCTACGTTGGGAATGATTATCCCAGGCCCGCGGAGGCCATGGGGGACCCATGGGCCACGCTTTTCCAACATCCGCTTTTCTCCTCCTCAACCGCGTCTCCGCGTGGACGGGGGCGGGTTTGTTTTCGACGCGATGCTCGACGAAGCTGCGCGTGGCGAAGAAGCCCAGGGGCAGGAAGCGTTCGAGCGTGGCCTGAACAATGAGGGCCCCGCTTTGGGGCCCAGTCCTGTTTGGGCCTCGCCCGGCCGCCTCGGGCCCGGGGCTCCTCAGGAAACCCTCCTCCATCAGATGTGGTTATGTCTTATGAACGAATTGATGTCAGGCTACTGTCCCGAATCGCGTGATTGCGCTGTAGCAGTGGCCGAGGGGCCTTCTTGGGGGCTGCGAGGCCCCCCGCCCGTCGGCTGGACTTGCGCCCGCTGCTGCGTGCCAGTTCAGGAAGAAGAGAGACTCAGTTCACGACTTCGCGCGGGCCCGCCCCCGCTCGATTCTGGGTGCGTGATCGGGTCGGGCGGCGGGGGCGGGGAGGAGAGCTCTGGCCCGAGGTTTCGGCGCAGCGGGCGGGATTTATTTCGCGCTTCTTCGATGGGGCCCAGATGCCTAGGCTGGGGGCTGGAATTTTTGCCTTGCGGTTTGCAGACTGTCCCGGCAGCCGAGTTATTTGCGACCACCAGAGCGGTCAAGGTCACCGTTGGACCCATTGAACGCGTT